GTGTTTCATTTAATAACTATTTTGGAACACTTTAGGTTACCTTTCTAATGTCCCCCACTGCATAAAAAAAGTGCCATGTGAGTAGTGTAAAACATTTTTCATTTAGTTTGATTTTGTTTTATAATTGATTATTATTATCTGATTGTTTTATTACCCCCTTCATGTTTTCTTTTCACAAGTATACAAACTAATATAGAATGTTTCCCCCTGCTGCCCTCCCCCTCCACCCCCCAAAGATTTCACAGAAAGTAAATTCTTGTGTCTGTGTTTTCACAGAGAATATGATTCTAATTCATAAATTAAGAGAAATTGCAGGGTTGCACAATTTAATCTCAATGAGATTATAGAAACTTGAGTTATAAATATTTATACATACCACAAGACCAAGAAATAATTATAGAACCTTTACAGAAAATGTATTTGAGAAGCTAAGAGTTTCCTCATAGGCCACTCAGAAGTGGAAAAAGGCACAATGTAATGATTCTGAGGTACCTAACCTACTATAGTAACTGCGACTATGCCCATTTGACAAACAGAGGCACAGACCAGCTTTAAAAAAAGTTATTTACCTTTTATACCAATGCCACTGGATTGGCTGTCTGAAGCCTTTATCTACCCAGTACTAATAATATACATAAGAATTTTCTCATTCTCTTCAATGATCACAGATATGAGAACTTAAAAACAGCACAGGACCAATAGTTATGATGAATACCTGTTGTTCAGATAGCCTTTGAAAAAAACACTTGGTATTACCAACAGTTAATGGAAATGCCACAGAATCCTATGAAAAATATTTTAAACTATGTAAATGTTGATTGGAAATTTCTTGTAACTATTGTATGTCTTAAAAATTTAGAATGGCAGAAAATATCCTTTTTTTTTTCCCATTACATACAGCTTGCTTTTGTCTTTAAAAGACGTTCTTCAGCAATATAATGCCAATGTCTAGCTCTATCTACACTGGGAAAATGCCCAGTACATGAACTGTGATGGTCTTTTGCTGTACCTTCTGCCAGATCCAATATCTCACAAGGAAATACAGACTCACTGGCTGTAAAGGCTTACAGAAACACTCTTGTAGTTCTTGTTTATGTAAGTACTTGGTAAGATGTTTATTGTGATATAACTGTTCTGTTTCTCAAGGCATTAGCTGTTCTGATGAAATAACATGGCATTACATTGTGTCATGGAATATTTCTAAATAATAAAAGCAATATCATTTTGATAATTTTTTCTGGGATATCAAACTACTCTCAGGGGTATTCATTAATGTGCAAGAGTGGAGGCTGATTGGTTGTTCAAGATCCTCTTCTGCACTGATCTAAACCAGATTGTATATATCTGCAATTCAGTGATGAATTTGCATAAAATTAAATGCATATGCCTTATTATTTTTCTCTTGCATCTAGAAGCTCTTGTGAGGAAAGCTTTAATTAAAGTAGCACCATGGCTTTAATTTCATACAAATTGGATAAAACTTTAGAATTGACATAATATTCTTCCCTGCTATGCAAAAAGAAAGGAAAAACGTGTTGAGAGGGAGACAAGAAGAAACCATTCTCTCTTGTATGTTCAAAATTGATACATCAGATCTTGCAACAGATATTGCTTTGTACTTTTACTCCTGAATACCCATTTACATAAAGCATAGTTCATGTTACTGAAAACAGTTGTTTTGAGAGTTGATGATACGTGGATGGATGTTTTCATGCATTGGCTGGGTTAGCATCTTTCACACCTTTCTCTGCCACTTGCATTAGAACTGAAATGGTGCCCATAAAGCCTTTTTGTTCTCTGTAGCCTAAAAAAATTAATGGTTTGGGTGTTTGATACAACTTAACTTTTGTTAAATAGGTTTCCCACTCACCAAGTAAACACAGTACTTCTGCATTAAATATTTTCCTCTATGTAAAACAGAACACCATTGAATTTCACCCTGGAATGGCACTGACATTCTGACTTAACCCTCAAAACCCAAGGAAAGTCAGAAGTAGGAACAAAATTAGTATCAGATCCTTCAGTCTTTAACTCATGCCAGAATGCAAAGTAAATGCTCTGAAGTCAGTCTGATTACTTTCTGCCATGACAGATCAGAGGTTAACAAAGATTTTTTCATATTTAAACCATATTCCAGCAAAGCACTTAGGCATATGCTGAAGTTCTGTAGCAATGTAATGTCCAGCAGTTCTTTTCTTGTCTGTAGATAGCTACCTGTAGTTTCACTTTCTACCTTAAACCTTTTCTCACTCACGGCTGATCACATAAATAGACAGATTAAAGGTGAATATAAAAATGAGATGTTATTCAAGCTGATTTATTTATTAAGTAATTAACTCTGGTAGGTTCCGAACTCAAGCAAGAGCCATAGTAATACCTTCCCTTCCTCAAGACACAACATACAGTTTGGACGTTATGTAAATGATGCAAGGGTCTATCATATCTGTGTTGTTTTCAGATCACAGAACTCCCTGTTGGACTTTCTTCCCTACATTGCCTATAATGAATGCACCGTGGCATTCCACCTGGGAGCTGTGGTGGAACTGCAGTTTAATAGATCAATATTTACATAAAATATTTGCAAATTATATCTTGTAAGGGCTAGCAGAATTGATGAACTTCAGATTTGTTGTCACTGCTCAGTTTAAGGTATCCTCTTTAAGTGATAATTAAAGTACTTTCTGATTATGCTCAAGGAAGATTAGAATGTAAAAAGAAAAAAAGAAGGGAAAAAACCCACACCAAATCCCCCCCAAAACCCCTTTTTCTAAATATTTTTTCTAATTAATCATTATATCCTAGTGAAATTTTTAACTGTAAAATTTCTTTCTGTCGTAGCATATTTGGACTTTCATTTGCTGTTTTAACAATTTCCTCTTCAAAAATTGCAGCTTTGCTCTTTTATTCTGGGGCAAAGATCGTTGTGTTTTCCTATATGATGGAACAGTCAGTTTCCCTTCTTGGCAGAGTTGTTATGAAACCTTATCAAATTACTGCTAGTAGATAACTCTTACGTTGTAAAGCAGAAGCTGGTAGGGAACAACAAGGAACTGTCATTTTTTTGACACTGTAGGAAGTAAATCCTGGAAATACTATTCTCTGTTTATCTTGCTATGGACAAATTGTTGGGTTTTGCCTTCTGAATACTGCTGGAGCTAGCAAAACAAGCATGTTAATTAAGGCTGCAGTAAATGACAACAGTTATGAGTAATTATCTTGAAATCTTTCTCATATGCCGTAGCTTTCAAGAAGGTATCATATAGCAGTTCTTTGAAACAAATAGCCTCAGTAATTATCTGTCCTTATTTTTCCAGGTTTGTTAAATGGTTCAGTAGCCTGATTCTGACAGAAAAAAGGAAATGCAATAGAAATGTAATTATGAATTTTTTCTACAGGTTTGGCCATGCTTCTCATTTGTAGAAAATGTAATGCCCATTTAAAGCATCCATACCGATGCATATGCAAACACTTGTGGCTCCTGTATGATTCTGAACAGCCCTGTGAAAATATGCTGAAAAAAACCAACACCCAAATAGAAAGTTCTGCTCTCCAGCCCTCTGCTTGTGTTCCATCAATTTTTTAACTGCTTGGCTATTATAGACCAATGGGTGTGACAACCATACTCTCTTTTAAAGGTATTTATAGTCAGTAAATTACTTTATACAGAAAGCTAAAACTATGCAATATTCTGTCTCTGCTACAAAGGATTTCCTTGTACGCAGGACAAACAGCACAGTATTCACTGTGCACATCTGATTAACTGCATTGATTGATCAAAGAGGCAACCCTATTCACATATCAATCATGCATGTGAGACTTTTCAGAACTCAGCCAAGAGCTTATGTGAACTCATTTAGTGATCTTTGATGGAGATCACAGTTAAGAATTCTTGTGTCATTAGTAAAGGAAAATATTTTTTTCTTTTTTTTGAAAATCAAACCAAATAGTCTACAGTAAGGATAACTTTACAAACTATCAACTTAAAATGGTGAAAACAGAAGAGTTTTTATAGAAACCCACTAATTTTGAAGTTTTTATATGACAGGAGGCTTTAGGATAGGATGTCAGTTTCTAAAAATCTGCCATTCTTCCTACATGTCCCAGACTTTCCCCATCTTCCAGAGCCAAAACTCCTTCAGAGTTCTCTCTTTTTCCTTTCCCCCAAGGAAGCTAATAATAGAATACAGTGTGTCTTAGGGGTAAAGTTGTCGTCTTTTTAAAAAAAAGGTTCTTGTTCAGCTTATCACACAGTACTTTTAAGGATGTCGGAACAGAACTTCTGAAGGCAACATTTTCTTTTAATCTTTTAAATACAATATTGTTAAGATAGTTCTCTCTAGTTTATATCAGGGAGAAGGAGCTTGTTTGGCTATTACAACATTAACTGGGTGTTATTGTTAACAGTTAAATTCCTCAAGTCTCTGAGCAAACATTAACAAGTTAATGTGAGGAGGCTAACAGTCACCAAGGTATTTGCTTCCGCCCACCAGATTTGCACTGAAAACTCCAGTGTAATATCATTTAAAAAATTTAAAAAAATAAATAAAAAACCCTTTTTAGTGCAACATTCCTGCTGAAGCCCACTCATTAACTGATCCTTTTCTGACGTCCTGGTATCTGGGAGAGCACAGCCAGTCCTTTTGGTGGGACTTTAAGTAGCCACTCAGTTCATCATCTCCCTCTTCATCTCATTACTCTGGGCCAAGAACCCAGAGAGAAGAAACAGTAAAGACAATCCTTTGAGCTTGTCTAAGAGGAAACGGGGAATTCCAGGAGACGCCTTGTTTATAGTCACAAACAAATACTTCAGTCCATTTAGCAGCTTTGCTCTATTAGCTACCAAGCAAAGCAAGCAAAGAGGTTAAAGATATCAAACTTCCCAACTCCTCCTTTCCTCCCTCCTAGACACCATACACGACTTTATAAACAAGGGGAACAAGTATCCTAAGCTTCATCTTTAGCCTAAGAGTTACTTCTGAGTCTCTCAGGGGAACAAAAGATCTCTTTTCCTTACCTCTGAACAGCTAAGGACGCCCTCTCCAGTCCCACTTCCATCCCACACTCTATAAAGTCGACAAGGTGGCAATAACTTGTGCCTCTGGATCTATCTCGCCTGCCCTCGCTAATTGTGAATCAAGGTTTCCCCTTCAAACAGGATCTTTCCTTTCCAAGTGCATGCTCCAAGGAGGTAAGAAATGTCTTTTGTTTCAGTCTTATCCCTGTTTGCCCTAGTATTTCGCTATGAAAGTGCCAGGGGTGTGGGACTCTGTGAAATATATGGATCATTTCATGTCTAAAAAGGGCTTCTTTCTTTTCAAGCTTCCCTAGTTCCTCCAATTGGAACGAGAAAGTCCAGTATGGAGCTTTACTTTGCAATTTTCAAAATGTTCTGGGCTTTCTTCTATTGAAACTCAGTTAGTGCAGATGCTTAATTAACTGTTTCCAAAATCTGAGAAACTATAAATCTTTATCCCAGCAGGAACTGCATTGAGATTAATACTCTCAGTGATGAAAGGCAAACAAGATAGTGTGTCACAGCAGGATGCCTCTTTCTATAGGGACAGATATTCCACCTTGTTATTAACAGTAATGTTTTGTTGGAGCTAGTATAAATGGATTTGTTCAGAAAAGGGAAACGGTGCTTTTGTTATTTTCTTTTTAAAGCAAATCTTACATATTACTTAAAATAGAAGATTTTTACAGATTAAAGTAAGTGATGGTGTCCCTCATCCAAGGAAATTACCATTTGAGAACATGACCCAGCCAACAGTGTCTGGATTTGACTTGGTTCACAAAATTATTTAAGATCAGATTTTAAAATAGGCTGCAGTAGTATATACATTGTTTTGGGTTTTTTTCAAATTAAAAGATTAGTAATGCTTCCTCCCCACATGTATTTCAACTGATGGTGTAGAATAAGATGACTCGAGGAAGACCTCGATGATTATTTTAAAGTCCAAATAAAATATTCCAATAAGCTGATACTGGAATCTTTTTAACAGTGTCTGGAAACCTGCAATTGTTTGTAGGTAAAGCAGCAAGTTCTTTATTATTATTATTATTTAATTTATAGGACACTCTATTAAATCAGTTTCCAAAAATATAAACTCTGGGACAAATCTACTCTTTAGCCAAATGAAATAATATAAAAATATCACAATAACCCATCACATTTTTGTGTTAAAAATAAGCCTCTGTATTCCAACTAAAATTTCTGCATTATTTTAGACTTCCTTGTTTTGTAACTGTCCACAGTCCAATTTTAATCTACTTTACTATTTATAAAAAAAATTATCATCAAAGCTCAAACCATACTTGCTATTTTTCTACCTGGAACTAGTTGTCATTGTTCAAACAATGAAAATGTAGAGCTGTGAGAATTCCACTGTAACAATTTTTTTTCCTTGTCTGCATACCTCTCGTTATTGTGAGCCAGTTTGTGCTGTACTTTCACATAGAAATTGATATCTTTACTTAGTTCCTTGATTCCTTTAAGAGATGGCTATGTAAGTGCCTTATAACTGGAATCTGGCTGCACTGACTTGTGTTCTTACATATGGCTCATAATACAAAACGGCATAAAGGACTGTACTGAAGTCAGCTAGCTGCTTTCACACGTTGTGTTACGAACTGTTCGTTTCAGACACCCATGCTGTTCCAAGCTGGGTTGTTGTCAGAAGGCAGAGACCATGTCTGTAACTGCTAAATGTGTGTATTAATATGAAAAGGAAGTTCAGGAAGGAATACTGATATTCCATATAATTTCAGAAGTCAAGCCAGACTTTTTAATGGTAACTTATTTTGCAGGATAATTATCTTATTATTCATTTTGAATTCACTTTTAAATACCCTGGGAAGAAATAAACAACAAAGGAAATAAATTCTGGTAACAGCATATGACAGTGGTCCCAAATCTAAAGTTAAGTCAATCTTAGAAATCTTGACTGCATCTTTTTAAAGTGGAAGGGACTGAGGTAAATCTGACACTGATTTTTAATCCATAAACAGCTGGCATTAGTGTTCTGCTGTGGTTCCTGAAGGACACAGGAGATGAGACATTTTCCTTCAGTTTGCCCACTGAGGGATTTGCACCAATACTTAAGTGTACCTTGTGATGGTTAGGCAATTACTTGTGGAAATATTACCGGAAAATTCCGATCTGTGGATTCAAAAGAAAAAAGTATTTTCCTGGTAGGTAAAAATCAGAGTCTACTAAGGCTGATGTAATAGACCATATGTCCCCATGGTAGGTGTGCTAAAAAGCATAAGTGCCTACTGCAAAAAAGTTATTAATGATACAGCACTGTAAGTCTACTTGGCACAATGTACTAGGGACTCTGTGCCAATGAAATGCAGAATCGCAGCTGCTTAGTTGTATGGACAAATATAACAAATAAGGCTCTAGTCACTCAGCCACATGTCAAAACATGCAGGTTGGCTTGAGGTCCTCCCAGAGCACATAGCTGTTCAACAATATCCAAGAAAATTTTCAAGAGTATTAAGAATATTTAGGACAAGTGAGGAAAAAAAAAAAGCCAACAACAACAACAAAAAAAACACACACACACAAAAAAAAAAAAACAAACACAAAAAAACCCCACGCAATGTATTCTCTTTCATGCTGGCAATTGTTTCTCTTAAGTTTTTTTTTCTTTTTTTTTTTTTTACATCTCAGCATCATGTTTTAAGAAGCCTGATCCTCCGTGTCTCTTGCAAATGATAAGAAGGGTACATGGATCCCACTGTTAACCACAGATCTGAATGTTTTCCATTCTCACTATTAGAAAAAAACAGACCATGGCTCTTTGCATCTTCTTGATTTCAGGCACCCTGGGAATTATGGAAGTTCAGCTTTGCCTCTTTAGTGAATGCATAAAGACTGACTCCATTGAAGTGTATTATACTCACAGATTTCTCCCTGAAGCAGATGAATAAGCCTCCGTTTTAGGGTGGACGAAACTGCATCTGGCATAAGAAGCTGTCCACCTTGCTACCCATGTGGTAGGCCTAAAACTGCAGTGTATGCACACCTAGTTCCTGTAGCACTATTCAAGCCACCAGAGCTTGCCATCTTTAAAAGTTATGTCAGGATGGTTTCCTATGCATATAAGTGCTTAAGTAAAATGTATAGAACTTCTACCTCTTCACGCCAGCAAGGTGTCTTCTGTTTTATCACTTGTTTCAGTTATGTTAGTGGCTGTATCCAAGGGGAGTCTTTGCACATCTTGTCCTTAAAAAATGTCTAGCTGATTGGCACTTAGAATCAATTTTGGAGAAGCCTTCTTTAGATTTCTCAATATAGTAACTATTAGATGGGAAGTAATTTATTTTGGTTTGGATTATTTTATTTTTTTTTAGGGAAAGATCATAAATTCCAATTTTATCACCCAGAGTACATTTGTATGGGCTTCAGGACATATCTAGCTTTCAGCTTACTAGTATTGTCTGCTCTTTTGAATTCAATTGAATAAATGGAATAAGAAGTGAAAATCCTTACCTTAAAACCTGCTTAAGGCTGAGAAATTAAGATCTCTGATTCTACTGGTTAGCTCTGGCACGCTTGCCTTTAGCATTTGGACTATTCAAGATTAAAATCTTACACGTAAGAAAGAGAGTCAGTTTCCTCACTGTCCATAGATTAGAAGCTTGTTTTCAAAACGGGGATAGATAAATCCTAACTTGAAGAATGGTTAGGAAAAGCATGCCATATGGATGGGCTTCCAATCCTCTAAGCAGCTGCAAATGCACTGAACCAGCTTTGATAACAAAAATCATTTCCTGTAAGTAGTGAGGTGCACTGACCATGTTTCACCTTGGCTTTTTACCACAGGCTGTAGTAACTAAGCAACTTTCTAATAACTTTTAATTAACCAATGACAAACAGAAATATAATTTAGTCTATTCTAAACGTGTGTCTTTATTCATGCATCACAGATGCTATTACACTAGGCACATGTAAATGATTTTTTCCAATATTACATTAGAGAAGTAATAAAAAATATTAATAGAAACTTGGTGAGGCAAGGGCACTGGGCTGAGAATAACATGAATTGACCAGAGCTAGTTTTTTGTTTCACTGTTGTAGCAAAAATTGCTTTTCTAACAAAAAACTGAGTTTATGCAAAAAAGCATAGCACAGGAAAGATTTATGTGCTTTAGAAGCAACATGAAGAGGGAAGAAAGATCATACAGCTTGTAGATATTCTACCTTGTAAATGCCATAACCTAGCATTTAAGACATTGGGGGTGGGGGCCAGGGGGTGTTCAGTCCCTGTTTATTGCTCCATTTAATGCTGAAATGAGAATACAATCTTGCCATAATTTTTGTAGGTAAACTTTCTTCTTCAGAACTTACCTGTTTTAGAAATACTTATTAGTAGTTAATATTCAGATGAATATGAAAATGTTCATGAACAGTGAGCAGTATGTGCACATAAACACAAATAATTGGCAATATTTTGAAGGATGTTTTGATGTAATATGTATTTCATAAGAACTGCAATTGAGAAATGCTACTTCTGATGTTTATTAAGCAATGTTTATTATAACTGATGTTTATTAAGCAATGAAGAGGTGTACTTTTCCATTACAGTGTCTAAGAAAGAAAGTGTACCAATACATTTCTCTGAGCTGTCTCAGGAGTCTGTACAGTCCCCTCAAGTAGTAGTCAGTGTCTCTATAACATACTGGACTAATATTTTTTCAGCAGTACCAAGAATATATACAATTTATCAGTATTTCACCAGGAATTTCACCTTTCCTGAAAACTGGTTCTAGGATATTTAAAGCTAGATTTCCAGATGGTGTGGTAACTGGTCTTTCAGTCAGAGATCCTAGGAATTTGTATGTAGGTGATCAACACATTTTGTTGGAGGAGAAAAAGAAAAAAATTGCTGAGCACCATCAGGGAACATGAATAAGAGTCATCTATCACCTCAAAAAGATGAAATTCATGTTCTGTTGTTTATGTACATTTCTTTAGCTGCTGAGGCATGGACTTTGGTGCAAGTTAGTTTACTAAGAATTTACCTTTAAATGTTTGGATAATTAAGCCTACTTTGTGCATGTTTCAATTCCCCTATCTGTGTGCTGTGGTTATGATGAAAAATAAAGGATTATCCATAAATTAATTTCCTGTCACAATCCACCTGGCTAAAGTCAGGGAAACAAGGTGTGATGGACTTTTTC